GCACACGGTTTGTGTTCGGCCGCGTGCTTTACTGTTGTCTTGTGTTGTTGCACGCAGCTCGTGTTTTCAGCTGCGTGCTTTCATGTCATGTTATGGCTTGTGCTGTGTAGCACGCAGCTTGTGTTTTTCTTTGGCTGCGTGCTTTCATGTTGTCATGTCTTGTGTGAACACGCGGCTTATGAGTATTCTAATTAGCTGCGTGTTCGTGTCTTGTTTTGTTAGAGCACATTGCTTGTGATTGTTTTGTTGGCTATGTGCTTGTGTTTTTGTTTTGTGTGAGCACATAGCTTTTGTCTTTGTTTCCTGTGTGCCATGTGACGGACCTGTTGCTATGACAGCAACTCCGGGAAGAACCAAACAATCCAAGATCAAGCAAAATCGTCAACAATCAAATCCAGCTAACTGAGTTAGCGACGTACGAAGAGCGGGCCCCTGCCTTGTCCTGCCTAGCCTAGCCAAGCCTTGTCTTGTTGCCAGCTGTGTTTTTCCCCCACGGGGTAGTTTTTGTTGCTTGTTTTGTTTTATTTTATTATTAATAAAAGCCCATCTCCTGCACCATTGATTCCTCGCTCCATCCTTCACCCCCACCCCTGAAAATAATTGCCTTGAGTTTTAAACTTCAAAACATTTCACACTGAACAAAATCCAGTAACAACCATGCACAGATCAGATAAAAGGGGGTTGTTTTGTAGTTTAGTTATTTATTTTTGCATGTATTTAATATAAGAATATATAATATAATAAAACTATTGTTAATATAACAAAACTACCATTCAAATGTTTGGGGTCAGTACTTTTTTTTTTTTTTTAAAGAAACTAATATTTTTATTCAGCAAGTATGCATTAAATTGACAGTAAAGACTTTTATATTGTCTACTCATCAAAACAATCCTAAAAAATGTATCAAAGTTTCCAGAAAAATATTAAGCAGCTGTTTTCAACATTGATAATATTAAGAAATATTTCTTAAGCACCAAATCAGCATGTTCGAAAATTCAGCTTTCCATCACAGGAATAAATTATATTAATATAATTTATTCCTAATATCATTAATGTTTTCTATTTTAATATATTAAAATAGAAAACAGTTATTTAAAACTTTAATACTATTTCAGAATATTACTGTTTTTCCTGTATTTTTGATCAAATAAATGCAGCCTTGTTGAGCATAATAGACTTCTTTCAGAAACCTAAAAAAAATTCCTGACTCCAAACTTTTAAATGGAAGTGTATATTGTTTTGGCAATACCTTCTTTTTTTTGCTAACATAGTATATGACATGGTCATGACCTAACGACATAAATTTTGAGTGTGTCCAGTTAAAGGGATGGTTCACAGAAAAATGAAAATGTCATTATTTACTCATCTTGATCTAAACCTGTATGATGTATTTCCTTCATGGAACAGAAAAGGTGAATGTTCAGGTGAATATAATAAATGTGAATGAGAACTGCGGCTGTCAAGCTCCATTAATAACAAAAACACCATGAAATTAACAGAGAAGTATATCTGTCTTCTGAAGCCATATGATTAATTATTTTAATCGTTATTCATTGAGAATACAATGTAGCTTTTCTTCATGAGAGATAACACTGTTCGATTTACAGTATGAATCAATCATTCTTCTTTTGAGTTGGATATTTTCATTTGATTTAGTTCAAAAAACTGTTCTAAATTATTTGTTCATGAATTGGACTGATTTGATTCTCAAGCTCCGTTCTTTAACTCCACACAGTCCTCATTCACATAGAGAATATTCTTCAACAATGTATCATTGTTCCACAGAAGAAAGCCATACAGGTTTGGAACGACATGAGGGTAAGTAAATGATGACAGAATTTCCATTATTGGAACTGTTTCTTCTAATGTGTGTCATGTACATGTCTAAAAACGTGCAAAAAAAACACACACACACAGATGTGTAGACACCCCCCACCTCTGCACTTGAGAACTTGCTTGATTCATCTTTCACGTACCTGTTTAGACAAAACGACCGAAATGCCCATCCCTGGTGTGTGGGTGGAACAGCTTGAATGTGTCACTTCATAATCGAGCAGGTTGTGCGTGTGAGAAAGATAGAGATGTACTGTATATTGAGATCTCCAGTGCAGTATCACAGAAGCATGTTGAGAAGCATCTGCTGTCGGCTTTGACTGTAATGCAGGATTTAACCAGGCACATCTCACGGCAAAGCCTCTGATTATCCAGAAACACAATCTGACACCACACCTTCCCTCCAGAAAACATTCACTTCATTATTTCATTATTTTGCTATGTGAAATCCTCTTTAATACTCTTCTGACATTTTTTGGGTAGTGTTCAGTGAGCGCACTCAGATGCACACACATGCATGCTCGCGTACATTTTTTCATCGTTTCTCTTTGTTCCTTTTCTTGCTTCACATCTCGTGCTTCCACTCATCCATCCACCCATCCATTCATCCCTTCATCCTCTTGAGAAGAAGCCGGAGTGAACGCTGCAGGTATTGTCACATCTCTCTCTAACTGTCTCTCTTTTTCTTTCTTTTCCTCCTTTTTTCTTTCAGTATTGTCCTGTCTTTCTTTTTGGGAATTTTTGATTCTCCTCTGTCTGTCTTTCATTTGTCTGTTAGTCTTAATTTATTATGGATCTGGGTGTTTTTTTTTTTAGCAACAACTCTGTTGAATTGCACTGTCATTATGAACATAGTTAATGGTGCAGGAACGTTGTTAATGAAGGCAAAACATTTTATATTACATGGAAAACTATTAATATCAGCGTAAATTTGCTGGTTCATTGAAAGCTTAGAACTGAATTAGGTTGATGCCAAAAACTGCATTTTCAGCCAATTTGAAAACAATCTCGCTTAGAAGAATGAATGAGATATTATTGATGCATCTCAGTTTTTGCTACAGGGAGGTCCAGCCATCTGTAGCCTGGTGGAAGTCATCAGCAGTGAATCATTTGAACCTGGAAATGCATCTTCCCCCTTTATCAATCTGGTCATTTGCAGAGCCTGACTGATAAGGACTGCCGATTTCTGTCACTTTACACGCTGCAAGTTCGATTCTGTCCCCTCCTTGCGGGTCTTTTTCCACATTGTACTAATTTAAACCGTACATTTGCATCATCAACATGAGTGCATCACGCAGAGACCCTCCCCCAGGGGGGGACTTCAATCTCTGTTCAGAAATGTGCAACACTGTGAGATCCCAATGGGGGGCCAGAGCCTGTTCTATTTGTATGGAAGTCAAAGGAGGACATGCCTGAATAAACTATTTTTGTAATGAATCAAACTGTTTATCACATAATAAATCGATTGCCTTGGTGGTAATCTTCAACATTTTGTTGTAACAGTTTGGAGAGAGCTATATTTGGAGATTGCCATGAAAAATTAGCAATTTATAAAAGAAGGTTTTTATATCCAGCATTACATATTAATTTCGCCAACATAAAATTCATATAAAGACACCATATCAGGGTCATTATATGATTAACTTGAAAGACAAATATGACTAGGGTGATCATACAGGCCATTTTCACGGGACGCACCCTTGCCAGGATTTCTATATTGCCTAAAATATCCAGGTTTTGGCCTTTAGCACTGTGCAGATCGATCGTTGTATGACATTATTTCACGAGAGCTATAGAGAGCAGAGCAGACTGCTCCTTATGCTTTCAAATTGCTCTCGCGGTACTTTGGTGTCATACAACGATCGGTGCGCAGCTTCAAGTCGAACAAACACGTGCACGTATTTGCATCGCTTTGATCATTCTCACCTTCTTACGCGCAACGCGCCATGATTGGTTGATTATGTACAATACCTGCATGTTCTTTCTTTATTTATATAGCACTATTATATAAATACAACTAAGTTGCCCAAAGTGCTTTACAAGGTACACATAGAAAATAACACATCAACATGAAGTAAATAGCGTTAAAAAATAAATAAATAATAATACAGTCCTAAAGCAACACCCATTTTAAAATGCCATAGAGAATAAATTAATTTTTAATTTGAATTTTATCTGCAAGATAAGGTGGAGTGCGGTTATTAATAGACTTAAATACCATGACCAGGATTTTGAACTCAATTCTGTATTTTACAGGTAGCCAATTCAACGAAACAAGGATGGGAGTGATATGTTCATATTTTCGTGTCCGGGTCACTTTTTTAATTGGCATGTATATTTGTGTGTCGTCAGCGTAGCAATGAAACGCTATCCCATGTTTCGCAAGAATATTCGCATAAAGGTATCATATATAAAGAGAATAAAGTTGGAGCTAAAATGGATCCCTGCGGAACTCCGCAAGCAAGATGCGCCGTGGAAGAAGTGAAATTATCAATGTTAACTGAAAAAGAATGGTTAGTCATATAAGATATAAACCATTTTAGAACATTTCCCTGCAGACCGATACAGTGTTCTAAACGGGAAATAAGAATAGAGTGATTAATAGTATCAAACGCTACTGATATTGCATGTTATTGGTCAAACTACTTTGGATGTTTTAGGCAATATAAAAATCATGGCCAGGATGTGTCCCGTATAAATGGCACATATGGCCTCCCTAAATATGACTCAAGTTGACCATGATTTTTTTTTTTTTCAGGCTAAACACCCTCTTCTCTCTGCCATGAGTACTAACAGCATCTCTCTACCATTATAGCTAGCTAACGGCTTGGAACGAGAAGGTTCCACATATTGAAAAATTGTTCATTCCGTTTTTTATTAACATTTTATTATCCAAACTAATTCACTATTTAATGCATTGCAAAAGATGCAAAAAATGTGAGATGCTCGCCGAAGTCAATTTCTGCAGAGTAAAACAGCAATGAGAAATGATTTGGAAGCAAATCATCATCAGTAGCACATCAGTTATTCTGTATGAACCAAATCTGGAAGCCATTTTTCAAAAAGGGACTTGAGTATGATTTCTTTGTGTATGCTTGAGTTCAGAAAACACCAATGAAATTCACTGAACTTTGACATCAAAGAGCTTGGGTCCTCACCAAAAATAGCTATAAAGCCTTGAAAAACAGGCCTGATTTAATGTGAAGTTTACCAGTATGTTTAACCAGGCATATACAGTCTGCCTTGTAATGATTTTATCAAAGTGCATCATCACAATATCCTCTAATTGTACATTTAGATTTCCTTTGCCATTATCTAACACTGACTTAAAATTATTCTTTAAAAATGATAATAATAAATCAATAAAAAAAACAATATAAATATCTAATAAACAAAGCTGTAGCATTGAAAATGATTGATTTTAGTTTTAATGTGACATTTTTAATGTATCAATACCAGCCAATAATTATTTTAATATTAGTGCCTCCATAATTAATAATATTAAACAGTCCTATTTAACTGAAATGACCCCTGTAAAAGAGCTTTAGTGCTTTCTACTTTTTCTGGGGTTTTTTTCTCTTTCATTTTCCCTCTCTTTGTTTCTATCTGTTTCTCTTTTCTCTCTGTTGATCTCAGGGCTTCTTGTCGTGTCACTCAGCACTCACTTTGTTTGTCCTCCTTCATCCTCTCTGCTCTCATCTATTGCCCCCTGTTTTTTTCTTCTCCTGACGTGTGCGAGCGTCAGGGTGACTGTTAACTTGTCTTGTTTTGATGGAGCATTGTTTGAGAAGGAGACAGAGATCGTGCTGTGGGTGGGAGTGATGGATGTCGTTCATGCTCTCCGAGTCCAGGCAAAGTCACTGAAGCTTATGATAGACTCTTCGCTGAAATCTTGCTTTTGATTATTCATGTGTTTCCTTTCAAACAGAGAGGTCAGCGGCTCTTGGGGCTTCACGGTAGACGGAAAATGACATTGTAGTAACTTGCCAGCCCATTACAAATATACTTCACACATTATATGAACTGCTACCATTCAAAGGCTTATTTTTTTAAGAAAAATATTTTTCTGTTTCAAATAAATGCTGTACTTTTGAACTTTATTCAACAAAGAATAAAAAACAATTCATCACAGTTTCCACACAAATATTAAGCAGTACAACTGTCAACATTGATGATAATAATAAATGTTTCTTAAAGGGGTCATATGATGCTGCTAAAAAGAACATTATTTTGTGTATTTGGTGTAATGAAATGTGTTTATGCGGTTTAAAGTTTAAAAAACACATTATTTTCCACATACTGTACATTATTGTTTCTCCTCTATGCCCCGCCTTTTTGAGACGCGTCGATTTTTACAAAGCTCATCGGTCTGAAAAGCGAGGTGTGCTGTGATTGGCCAGCTATCCAGTGCGTTGTGATTGGCCGAATACCTCAAGCGTGTGTCGGAAAAGTTACGCCCGTCACCATACTGTTGATGCCGTGACCGGCCGGAGCGACGAGACAAAAACATGAAAACCCATTATAAACAAGGCATTCGTTGCATCCAGTGGGGACATAATTACGAATTATAATGACTTATACTGTCTTTTTACGCGCTGCGTTGCATTGCGCCGCGTACGTGTTAGAACGAGCCGTTTTAGGTAGGCGTGGTTAACTCTTAACTTTTATAAAGAATATCTCTTTGGATTTGAGACTTTAGTCTTTGCAACTTTACAGATCTTCTTTATGCACCAAGAGCTTGTAACACTCCAAAGAGAAAGGAAAAATTTAAATTGCATCATATGACCCCTTTAAGCATGAAATCAGCATATTAGAATGATTTCTGAAGGATCGTGTGACACTGAAGACTGGAGTAATGATGCTGAAAATTCAACTTTGTCATCACAGGAATAAATTACAGTTTAAAATATATTAAAATAGAAAACAGTTATTTTAAATTGTAATAATATTTCACAATATTATTGTTTTACTGTATTTCTGATCAAATGAATGCAGCCTTGATGAGTATAAGAGACTTATTAAAAAACATGAAAAAAATCTTACTGACCTCAAACTTTTGAATGGTAGAATGCATAATGTGAAATAACAGGAAACAAGACCTGTGCTTCTTTTCGCTATATTTAAATGGGAAAAACAATCAGTAATTCACTTTTATTCAAGTATGCAAACTTTTCTCAAATCCAGATGAAAATTTGCATCAACCTGAATAGTTTTAGCACGGATTTCCATCAGTGATTCATGTCACATTTAAATGGAAGTATTCTGAGAACATAACTTTTCAAATTCATATTGCACATTTCCATCTATTGTACAGTCTCCATATACAGCGACGTGAATCACTAGGTCTTTTGTTACATTTCAAAATATTTGCAACTTTATGCCTTTTAGAGGACTGTTTTGTCAAGTCAAGTATTGCGCTATTCTATTGCGCTTTATACAATACAGATTGTGTCAAAGCAGCTTCTCAAAGATAAACAGGAAACTAGCAGAATCAATTATGGAAACTCAACTGGAGAAAACGTATTGTTTGTAATTTGCATTGTGACTCCCTGAATCAAAATCAGATTGTGAGGATTTCCAGTGTTACCGTACATGAATGACCTCGGCTGTGTTTGTAAAGATGTGGTGGGGATGAATTAGTATTATATGTTTTTCAGTCTTTTGAGTTTCAGCTGAAGTCTCTCTCGAACTTTTCTCTGATTTTGCCTGGTCAGTATTGTTAAGACATCGGTTGTCATTCTGATTGTCCTCTTTGCACAGCTTTGACTATCTACCTGTCTTTCTGTCCATTTCTCAGACCCCACAGTGATAACCACCCCTTCAGGAGTAGACCATGCTGTGATTGGTGGAGTGGTTGCTGTTATTGTCTTCATCATGCTTTGTCTCCTCATCGTCCTCGGCAGATACCTCATCAGACACAAAGGTACCACACACTCACACACGACCCTAATCAGACACAAAGAAATCCCTCGCTGTCTTTCACACCCACACACACACACACACCTGGGGCGTCTGGAGGGCTTATAACCTTCTGGGACTGTTCAAATTCCTGACAGAATGACCTGACCTGGTCAGCAGCTTTTTTTTTTTTTTTAATGATTTTTTTATGGATTTTGTCTTGACAAACATTCTAGAAACTTGACTCAAAATCTCATTGTTGACTGGGACATTATACTTATAATGAACCACGTGTCTCACTGCAATGGTGCACCTAGAAAAAAAAACATGAGAAAAATGGGCTTGAAAAAAAAAATGAAAATGCTGAGTTTATGAACACAGAATGAGAGGACAAAGTACAGGTACATACAAGGTTGCATGTCCTTGCTTTTATATAAATGCATATCAATTGCTCAGCATAAATACTGTATATGATCAATATCTAATAGTAATGAATTTTTTTCATATTATATTCTACGCTTTTTAATATTTTGCTTAAAGTATTATCTATAGTCAAGATTTGAGCTTTTTTTGCAGCAAATCCATTTCCATTTTCCTCTCTCTGACCTTTGGAATTGTAATTGCTACTGTACCTTTAAGATATCTATATGCAAATGACCTTTATTATCTCTGCTGATATAGCGTTGATGAAAGTAAATTTTAAAAGCAACATATTACATTATTGTTACCTCAAGTTGCATCATTACATTTTATGGAAAGTAACACATTACTGTAGGTACTTTTGCATTTAAAAGTGTGTGAGTACATCTCTTACCTATCTCTTACTTTCCATTACAGCATAAATGTATTAACACAGGAATCATGGTCACAGCAAAAAATAAATAAATAAATAATTGCATGCTCAAATGGAACATTGTTGACAAAATGTTGCCTTTTCTGTTCATTCTTGTTCCCAGTCTACAAAAAAACAAGATAGTTGATTTTCATTAGAACAGCAGAGTTGAATGCATTAATTTTATTTTAAAAAAATCAAATAAATATCAAATAAAAATACTGAATATTTAAAAGTGTGTGAGTACATCTCTTACCTATCTCTTACTTTCCATTACAGCATAAATGTATTAACACAGGAATCATGGTCACAGCAAAAAATAAATAAATAAATAATTGCATGCTCAAATGGAACATTGTTGACAAAATGTTGCCTTTTCTGTTCATTCTTGTTCCCAGTCTACAAAAAAACAAGATAGTTGATTTTCATTAGAACAGCAGAGTTGAATGCATTAATTTTATTTTTAAAAAATCAAATAAATATAAAATAAAAATACTGAATAAATTACTTGTATGTTACACCTTAACTCCAGTACTGGTACTTCTGTCATCATAACTGTGACATACTCTGAATGAGGTATTTTTATAGTTTAGTGGACTAGGTGGACTGGGGAGGGAGTTCTGTATAGTACATCAGTTTCTTTTATTTCAAAAATGCAAGAACAATTCTGTCCCATCTTATATCCCCTTAAAAACAGCTATTTTGCAGAGTGCAAGCAGCAATTGACAGACTGACAGACTGTGTCACTGCACAGAGGGACACTGTAAACAGATCATCACAGCTGTGCTGCAGCTTTCCCTCTCTATCTATCTATGACTTACAGCGTACAGCTCAAGAAAAGCTGTCAGAAGCGATACATTTGGGAAAAACAGCCTGGTTTCAGAGCCAGGGAAGAAATGCTGAACAAGGATTTAATGCAGCTGTGCATTGAAAGATCATACTGTATGTACTCATTGGTGAGGTATTAATGTAAACAGTCGGTTAGGTCTTAAGTGAAACAGGTGAGAAAAAAATCAGGTATGCCTATGTATGTAAAAAGTTTGGATCTTGATGTGTAAATACAGCCTAATAGTCTTCTCGCCAGAATATTAATTTGTTAAAGTGATAGTTCACCCAAAATTGAACATTTTGTCATAATTTACATCTAATTAACATCATGTTGTATGAATTTATTTCTTCTGTTGAACACAAAAGAAGATATTTAGAAGAATGTTTGTACCAGGGGCGTAGATTACATTTCTGTCCCCCTCACTTCTGAAATGATGGCTACGCCCCTGGTTTGTACCCAAACAGTTGCTGGTAGCCATTGACTTCTGTAGATTTTTTTTTTACTGTACTATGGAAGTCAATGGCTACCAGCAACTGTTTGGTTGCAAACATTCTTCAAAATATCTTCTTTTGTGTTCAACGGAAGAAACAGTTTATTTTTGGGTGAACTATCCCTTTAAGGTTAATTAAGCTGTGATATTAATAGAAAACCCCAGTCTTCAAAATTTATTTTTCTCTTACTGTTTACTAAAATTATTTTAATTAAATACAATATAATAAGTAAAATAAAATAGTATTTAAAAAATAAAATAAAACTTTTAGTTAGAAGCTACATTTAATTGTATTTTAAGTCTCTTATGTTCACCTACGGTGCATTTATTTGAACACTCTATGTAAAACAGAAATATAGTGAAATAATATTGTGTACTAATATTATTACAATTTAAAAACAATTTCAAATGTTTTCTATTTTAATATTAAAAAAAAATGTAATTTATTACTGAGATGCAAAGCTGAATTTTCAGCATCATTACTCCAGTCCTCAGTGTCACATGATCCTTCCGAAATGTCCTGATTTCCTGCTCAAGAAACATTTCTAATTATTATCAACATTGAAAACATTTATATTTAACTTTTTAAAAACATCAATACACGCAACAAAAACTGTGAGAAAAAGAATCATAATGTAATAATAATATGCAGTATAATATAAAATAAGCATTCAACAAATCACTGAAAATATACAATTAATGAAGATGATATACCAATAGCAGTAACAAATAATACGGATAAAGTTGTGGTTTCACTCTCTCTCGGTCTCTCTCTCAGGTACATACCTGACTCATGAGGCGAAAGGTTCCGATGATGCTCCTGATGCAGACACAGCCATCATTAACGCTGAGGGTGGCCACTCTGGGATGGATGACAAGAAAGAGTACTTCATCTAGAGATCCATCCCTCTGCACCCTCTTCCTTCACACGCTTCAGTTCACTCAGCCTGACAGGGAAAAACAGGGATGGCAGAAGAGAGAGAATATATGTGAGGAAAAAAAACAAAACAAGTGTTGACCTGTTGGAACTGAAGGACTTTAAATACGCTACGACACACAGGACAGGGACGTGAGAGTTGGCGCGTGGGCTCATTTACACACAAACACACACACACACACACACACACATTATTTCTTCATTACCATAATGACACATGAGCAAACACACATGACGAGACGTAAACAATAACAACAGGCAATATGACAGTGACCACACTTCCCTCGCCTCCCATGATTCCTTTCAAACGGTCCAGATGTACTCTGGGATTATATAGCATCATTTTTACTCAGTGTGCTGTAAATATATCCTCTATCTCTCTCTAACCTTACTGTCTGATATTGAAGTATATACTCTCTGAGCCTGCCTGGTTTTCTTACATGCGTGGAAATGCCGAGTTGATAAAAAAAATATCTGGACTATAAAAATAAAAAAACATGGTGTTATGAAAACTTCAGTAATATTTGTGTGAATTACGTTCTCCAAGTTTGATTTCTGGTGTTTACTGTTGGTGCAACAGTCTAGTGTCATTTCATCAACCTAGGAAGATTATTATTATTACTATTATTATTATTATGAGGTCCTCAATCTAAATGTATTACATTGTGCACTGATGTATCATTGTATCAGGCCCAGTGATTTGCTCACTCACGCCACCTTCAGGAATGAATCTCCTCTGTTCTTCAGTGGCGGGACTCTCAGAAAAAGCAGGGTAACAAACTACTGCTCTCTTTCTCTTTCTCTTACTGATCATATTCCCACTCTCTTTCACAATTCTCTCCTGTCTGTTCTTCTCCTCTTACAGTCATAAAGCTAGATTATTTCTAGATTTATGCCATCATTGTAACCACAGACCATGGTGACATTTCAAGACACACGGTCTGCTTCCAAAACCATTGAAAGACACAGACTCGTAACAGGCACGCATGCAAACACACACTGAACAAAAAGTGTCTTAAACTGAATACAAAATTGAATGAATTTAAACCATTCAACCCTGCAATATCACTGACAGACACACACACACTCATATACATCACATCATTGTTACATTACATCACACACACACACAGAATAACCAGGCAAAAACAGCAGCCCCTGCAACCATTGTATGGGACCCCCGATATAAATTTTCTCTCCTGTCTGTTCTTCTCCTCTTACAGTCATAAAGCTAGATTATTTCTAGATTTATGCCATCATTGTAACCACAGACCATGGTGACATTTGGAGGGAGTTTGGGGGGGGGGGAGGTAAATTGGTTGCATCATGCAATAAACTGAGGTGATTCATTTGAATAAAAAACAGTTGATTAATCATTTAATATAATTAAATCTGGCTTATTAAAGGTGATGTGTGTAATTTTTAGCATGTTAAACACCTTCCTCCTATCCAATCTTAATGCGAATAGACTGTAAATAAGCCATTCGTAGGTTGATTCCCTGTGGCGCTATCAAAACATTGCTCTGTTATAACATAAGCTCAACCAATGGCATGCAGTCTGATTCAGTTTGGAGGCAAATGTGTTGTGCGTAAATTTGTTGAAATGCATGAATTCTGCTTCACTATGTATCCAGTTGATTTTTTCCTAATCTGTACTGATCTGGTGACAGATTGGATTACAGAAAATGGCCAGTTGTCATATCTGAATCATGTATTCCTTTTCAAAAGCTATTTACTTAGAGGAGACGGTTAGAACGGTGACTAGAACAGGTTGAGCTGTGGTGTTCATGCAAGTGGTGTATGTTTGAATCCGGCTTGTGAAATTTTTCAATTCCATTCCCCTGGACTCTTCCCAACGTTTCTTGTCTTAAACATGGCAAATGGTCCAAAAATAGAATGATATTTACATAGAGAAATGCACGTTTTAATGATAGTGTCATGTGGCCCCAATGAAAGGGACTCTTAAATCACATCTGCCATGTATATGGGAGTTTAGGCATGTTTTTGTTCACGTGGGATGATAGGGTAATTCGTTTAATGCATATGTAGGTCACAACTGAGTGGCAACTGACCAATTACAACTAAAACCAATCCTCTACCTTCAGACTCCCTCCACATACCTCATTCATGCCCGCAGTCAATGAGTTTCTGAGATAAGCAGTTCAATCGACTGCCACAAGATGGCGATAATGCATTTAATTTCCCACACATCTCTCTTTCTCTCTCTCTCCTGTACAAGCAGTAGAACTTCCAGTTAGCTATCAATCAACTCAGTGCTTAATTTTAAATTATGTTTACTTTTATTCTGCTGTAGATGTGCATACTGTTGTTTGTAATTTTGTGTTCTTTTTTTATCATTTTATTTTTTATGATGCTAAATGTCTTAGACTGGAAAGAGTAGCTAGATTATAGTTTCCATGACTTTTGTTTTTATTGATAATCTGCCATTTTTTATGATTTGATGTGATTAGTGTTGCCTTGAACAGTCTACACACTCAAGTGAGCACAGACACTAGCACACATTTATTGCGTGTGTCTATGTTTGCACGCGTGGAAGATTTTCACACTGGCCCACCAAAACAGATGCAGGAAACATTAAAAGTGTCATTACGTTTTGTTATTGGAGTTATGTTAGATTCATTTTTTTTTTAATGATAAGTCTTCCTTTTGAATAAAAATTCATATCATGTGGAGCTATTCATGTGTATGTTGATTTGTATTATGGCCGATGATGTCATCTGAACGGGACTGAACTCTTGAGATCATCATCATTGTGGGTTCCGTTTGTTTGATGGTCTGTTTAGACAGTATTTGCTTTTTGTTACAAAAAGAGATCCCTTGTTAACTTCAAAATAAATATACATTTGGGTTAACCTCATTTCAGCGGTTATTATTGTTATTATAAAAACTGAGAATCATTTAGAATCATTTTAATATTATTTAAAACTAATATTTACATGAAAAGTGAAAATGTGCATGTTTTTACCTAAACTAACCCTACATTACTTACTAAAGTTACATTATAAATTCATAAACATTTCTAAAAAAAAAAATAAAAAATCAAGCATTGATTTTTTTTTAAATAATTTTTTTTTTTTAAATACATTTAAATAAACTCTTTAAATATACAAAATACACATGTTGAATATTTTTTTCATATATGTCACATATATTTGTTGGCATATATTTAAGAGTCTTGATTCAAAAAGAAAAAAAAATCTATTGACCTTTTTAACTGTTACTATAGGAATATGGGGCAAGTTGTCACAATGCCAAACTGCTGTTTATTGACAATCATTTGAGAATGCAGATTTTAAAGCTATTTTAAATAAAAAGAACATTTTCCACAGCCTACAGTGGGGAAAATATTTATTTGATCCCCTGCTGATTTTGTAAGTTTGCCCACTTACAAAGAAATGGTCTGTAATTTTTATGGTAGGTTTATTTTAACGTATAGAGACAGAATACCAACCCAAAAAATCCAGGGAAAAAAACATTATATAAAGGCGGGCGCTGCAGGATTTCAGTCCATTGCGGCGTAGTGTGTTACTAATATTTTGCTTGGTGACTGTGGTCCCAACTGCCTTAAGGATCCTTTGACAGCTCTCTGGTCTTGCCCATGGTGGTGGGAGAGGTTGGAACGGAAGATACAGATTGTGTGGACAGATGTTTTATACACCTAACAAGCTGACATTAGGAGTAACTTCTTAAAGTGGCAGGACTAATCTGTGTTCCACATGGGCATATAACCAATCTGTGGGAGCCAGAATTCTTGCTGATTAGTAGAGGATCAAATACTTATTTCACTCACTGAAATGCAAATCAATTTCTAACCTTTATATAATGTGTTTTTTCTGGATTTTTTGGTTGATATAATTCTGTCTCTATCTGTTAAAATAAACCTACCATAAAATTACAGACCCTTCATTTCTTTGTAAGTGGGCATACTTACAAAATCAGCAGGGGATCAAATAAATATTTTCCCCAATGTATACAGTAAGTATTTAAAATGAAAAAATGTAATAGTACAAGAATTATGAAAAAAATTCATGAAACAACGTAAGTGCACTACAGAAAAAACAGGCTAGGTGTGGCCATAACACATAGGCTAAAACACATGTGACAGCTTGCCCCAACCTGCCATTGTGAAAAATATATTTGTCATGAGTACACAGTAAAGCCTTTTACTAAAAATCCTTTTAGTAAAATCTACTTCCATAATATGATATGTGTATTATATTCCCTTGTTTAGCCCATTGCTTTTCAAAAATATTATGGCATTTGTTGGCTAATTTTAAATTAGTGTTAACAAAAATATCAGAATTTATGACAGTTGTGAGCTAGGTGTTTGAAATCAACATGCTAGAGAAATCAAACACTTGCAACTGGACGGCTGTAGCCCTTATGACAACTTGCCCCGTGACAACTAGCCCCAGTCTCCCCTATATATGTATAATAGGTATAATAGGGACTGCTAATTCCCAACTGATCCTTATTTGAATAATAATGGTCGTCTGATTGAACAGCTGGCAGATTTTAAAAGGCGAGAAATATGACATTTTATATCCTATGTGTGTATATGATCTGTCGAGCTGTGACATTGAACAGCGTGTAAGGACGACAAACGCAATGAGAGAGAGAGAGAGAGAGAGAGAGAGAGAGA